AGCCGGTGCTAGGGGGCGTGAACGTTGGCTTGCACATACTACTGAACAGGTTTGATCAAACAGACTAGCACCATTTTAAAATTAGCCATATGTGTTTACCCATTTTACAATTAAAATTGTATAGGACTTGTTTCAGAAAACCTTTATAATACAGATAAATATGTGGAAGATAATATATCGAGATACTAGTATTCTTTTATAATGGATCCATTTTTATTCATTTTATTAATTTGTCCTGTATTTTTGTTGTTGTTGTTGTTGCTGTTTTTTTTTTTTTTTTTTTTTTTTTTTTTTTTTTTTGGGGGGGGGGGGTTTGTTTTTTTTTTTTTCAATTCATTTAGCAGTTGTTAAATGAATTCATTTTTATCCTTTGTGATCATTCTTTTGTTGCATTGACTAATTAACTTTTTAAATACATGTACAGTATAAATGAAATAACTTTTTTTATAAATTTCAGACCTATTTTCGAAACACAGCGCTTTGAGTCGCACCAAATGATTGTACCAGTAATTGCACCAGTTCTATAACAGAAAGACGGACAAAAATATATTCCCCGGAGCGATTAGAACCCACTGTATTCGTTCTTACAGTCCTGTCCTCTGCCCATACATCATTCTGTCTTCTTGTAGAGTCGGTTGTAAATAAGCAATAATACTACGGGTAGATATGACCTAATTATGTATGTGTGCAAAATCATCTTTCCTGTTTTGGTGCCATTTTGACCTTAACTGTGTTCGTGCGCTGTAAAGCCAAACAAACAAACAATCTGTTTTGTTAGTTATTAAATTTGAAAATAAAACAATTCCACGACTATGGCATTATTTTTTGTGTGTTTTTTTTTTCAGAAATGTATCGCCAAAAGCGAATGAAAGAAGAGGCAAAGTTGCTCTCCGAATCGATAATGGATACAATGTTAGGAATGTGAAATGTGGAATAAAAAGTGCATTCGGTTAGGTATTGCTGCTGGTACACGGACAGTAAGTTAACAATGGATGCATGTTGCCTACACCCTCTAGCACCGGCTTTAATTTTAGATCAAAATCAAAAGTTAAATTATCTATATATTTAGGATCGACCAATAACGTTTCGAAAACATGTTTCGAAAACATGTACTTAATAACATTATTTTGTATCATATCAATAAAGTTATTACAAATATAATATTACATGTACATGTATTTGGAAACATAAACATTAACAAATTTAATTTTTAATCACATGTACTCTAAATGGTAAGATTCATGTCAATTGAACTTTTCATTCTGTATAAAGGGCACGCAAATTTACATTTATTTAATAAATTATGGTTAACTTACATTGCAAGTCTATAAAACTCTTGTTTCAAACTGGAAAAATGTTTGACGTATGAAAATGTATAAATGACATATTATGTCTATAAAACATATATTTTCAAAATGATGAAGGTTTTGACTGTCCGCAAAACCCAGATTTGGACGGCAGGTGTTGAAACAAGCTCTAAACATTGGTCGGTATTGCTGGACCATAAAACACAAAAAAAGGCAAACTTGTAAGAATGATTAATGGAAAACAAAATAACTAGTTGACACATTTTAACTAGCAATAAAGCAATAGAAAATAACAGGACAGAAAGGTACACTAAATTAACCACTGTGGGGCATACTTCTATGAATATTTGGGGGTAAAAGAAAAACAAACAAAAAACAAAAACAGAATCTCTATAAACGCAAAAAAACCAACAGTAAAACTCAAAGGTTGAAGTCGGTGCCAGGGGTGTAAAATTGTTAGAGACGGAATATGTAAGTGCAAGTCTATCTTATCCATGCATGACGTCATATCTCATTTTGTGATGTAAAAGAAACAGGCGACAGGAGATGTGAATGTATTGTTACACAGCTTTAGTATATCAACAAAGGTGGGGAGGATATAAATGTTTATAACTTAATAAAATGTTGACTAACAACACCAAACTAACAATTAATAGAGAATTAAAAGTACAAAACTTGTGATATAATGACACATGGAAATCACAAATATCTCAATAAAAATGACATAAAACGGGTAGTGAACCTTACAACTAAAACAAACATATTCATAGTTGTATATTTGAATGCACAATGGGTAAAATGATAGTTGCAATTTTGCTAGAATGATATAATCTTTAAATAATTTGGAACGGCTTAAATTCAAAACGCCAAATACCTCAATAGTATTACAAATCCGAAAATAAGGCCATAAATTGCACACATGTTGAAAGTGTACATGAAAATGAAAGTCAGTCATAAAACCGTTTGTAGAACACCATATAAAACCATTAAAGCGATAAACTTTGATTATAAATCAAATTTATTTCCTTACATCTTAAAGTACTAGTGACTTTAAATGAAAGCTTATATTAAGTGTTGTATTTAACATAGTTTATTTTGATTGGCTTAAAAATCATTTTTCTTTGTCTTTTTCATACAAATGGGGAATTTGACAACGAATATAAAATATAAAAAAGATTTATATAACTAACAAAAACAACAACAAAATGGAAACGGTAACGATAACCAAATATGAAAAGAAAAGTCTGGAAAAAGTTTGGCATAAGAAATTAAAAAAAAAAAAGTTGAAAAGTTAGAAATGCTGAAAATAGTCTTCAAACAGAAGTCATATTGATTTATTACGTTCACAAGTTTGCCTAAAAAGTTTTAGACAAAATTCAGCAAATGTCATTTCGCTCAGGGCAACAGTGGTATTGTTTCAACAAACATGCCAAATTGTGTGTAGTCTTGAATTGGGTGTCGTATCGGTTTATTAGGGAAGTATACATAAACAAATATACTACATGTATATTGTCACATATATCAATTTAACGTGCATATAAAACACACAAAAATGCAACAATTAAATTAAATAGTATGTTTTATGTTACCCTTGGATTGCCCATTAAGGTAATAAGATATGGGATCCAATAAAAAGTATGGATTCCTGATAATCCTGAGATACACACACTTAAAACAATCCAATGTCTAAATGAGGTCACATAGGCCTATGAATTATTGTAAAGATAAATTTCTGTAATATAAATCTCTGATATAATTACTCAGTATAATATACTAGTAAGTTAATATATTCTGCTATATAGATAACAGCTTTGTATCGCCACTTATACATAAGAATGATTTTACATGTATGAAGAAAACAAATGCCTTTAAGATTCTGGAACCCCAAATTATACATTTAAGATTACGATTTTGTGGAATTGTACAAAATTAACATGTCTAACCAGAGACATAGATAACAGAGATGAGCAGCTCCTATATACTCCATTGTAATATCACACATGCCTATAAAAAAGTGAAAAACTAGGCATTTTGTAGCACATTTTTAACTTAATGGATGTACATTTGTTCCTTTAATATTATATACCATTTAAAAGGTAAATCTTTTATCTATTGCTGCATGTTAAATGTTGGTAACTTTCCATGACTTTCACTTAGAAAAACATAGCAGAACATACCAACTGAGCCAGTTTTTTCGTCATATGAATAGTTTTGTAACAAAAATTATTAAGTAGTTCTCTTTAAAAATTGATGTATCATTTATTAAATGGGAACTGTAAATATTTTTACCTGCAGCCATAGACAGATGCATAAGCTTTCAGAAAATTTATTATATTCCTGATTTTGACACCTGGTTAAATAGAGGATATTTGTTAAGTTAAGTGTAAGATCGGAATTTATCATACACCCATGCCGATTTTACGACTCCGTAAATATGGTATTGCACGGCCGTGCATAAATTTTGACGTGACGTCATTAGCGTTATACAGACATAGTGTAAAGACGCGCTAAATTTTCGCGTTACTGTATACTATAGGCGCGTCAATGAAAAGTGACTCTTATTTCACTTTAAACGGTCTTTATTTTGGGTATGTGATAAATAGAATATTAAATTCGTGTAAGTTCATTACTGAATGTATTGTACTTGTTGAATAAAATAATATTATGCTCGCCATAATATAATTTTATTCAACTCGTGCAATAAATTCAGTATTGAACTTACACTCATTCAATATCCTCTATATATTTCACCGAGTGAGCACCAAAAGGTATATTTCAAGAGTGGCACAGCCACGAGTGAAATATGAACTTTTTGGTATTCACAAGGTGAAAATATTTTTCGATCTTACACTAAACTAGACAAATTTTCTTTATATTATATGCAAAAAAAAGATTTAAAAAAAACATTAAATCTAATACTGAATGAAAAGCGCGCCAAATAATAATACAACGTGACGTCATTTACTACGTCACGTCATTAGGTTGGTTTCCAGTACTGTGCACGCTGGTATTTCACTGAAACAACGTATCGGACTTAAATTCAAAACAGTGAAAATATCAAATTGATAATTTCACTGTTTAAAACAGTGAAATTATCAGTTTTATATCACTGATATATCTCTATAAACCACCGAAAAGCATGTAATAATAAATTTTACTTGCTACAAGTTTTAAGTTTAGCAGGCACGCGTAATAGATCTACTTTAAAACTGATTAGGAAGTTGCCTATCTCTGTTATCTATGTCTCTGGTCTAACACACGTTTTGGGTTGATAAATAACGTTCAATTCTTGGCTAAAGGTTCAGAACTGAAGTCTTGCCTTCTTCCGCAGTAAATATTTAAAATAACTGACCTGTATACTAAATTTAATGGTCAAAGATTAATCCAGAAAACGCCAGGTAACCTAGTGTTTATTAGTTTTATACTAGATCTAATTTGCGGATATTTCATATTTTAAAACAAACAAAACGACAAAATAGATTATAACCTAGACAGAATCTACCTAGATACCTTCGTGTAACATCACCAACATATGAAACAAACGCTGTAGCCGGCTTCATTAAACGCAATGTCATTAGAAAACAAAATGTCAAGTGCGCCTATTTGAAATGCCAATCTATGTATGTGTACATGTAGGTTGTTATCTAGGCTAAATGAGGGCGCCAATCTCTTCTGCAGACGAAACGGTATAGAATTTTGTCTTAGCTAAATACCGGAAATAACGGCGCTAACGGATTTTAGTATTACTAACAAGCATGGCGGCCTGGGTGACATTCATTACAAAATTTAGAAATTGCTTACAAAGTTTGAAGATCACAATCGATAATATAGCTTTACACAATCAACAGACCGGTAAAAATTATTTTCTTTATTCAGTGAATGCTTAAATTTTTTTTTACTGCCATCTACAGTACGGATAATTTAGATAAAATTTATTTGAAAGACTGAAACTTCAACAAGGCTCCGCAGTACTAAAATCAGTTCTAGGATTATTTACACTCTGTAAATATGTGGATACTGTAGAAACTTCATTGAATTTCTGTCCATAACCGTATTCACGGGTAAATAGTTTATGATTTGCTAGATTTATTGGCAGTGTAACTTTGATGTTAATAATTTTGCAAATTTCCATATCATATTGCAAAGCATCAACTTCATCAACTTAACATATATTATGAGGTAGATGAAAAGCTTAAAAATATTTAACCATTCTCATATGTACTCTATCAGACTGTTAGGCAGTATTAGATAAGACTAGCCTCATTAATGTACTTTTCAGGTTTTTTTTCATCGTTGTACCTAGCTTTTAAAAGGTCTACAGCATACCCGTTTATATATTATAACATGATGTGAATGCTGAAGACAACCCGGTAGGGAAAGTCCACCAATAATCGTGCCAGGAATCTGACACGCTCTTATTCAGTCATTGGACATGCCATGAAGTAAAGTTAAGCATACCTTGATAAAACTATATAAAATCTGTTGATAAGCCAAGGACAGACAAATAAAAATCTTATTACCAACATAACTACCTACTAGTTTCCCACTGGTAAAAATTCCGGCACTTGGCCGCCATATTGCCACAATGTTTGACTATGTGATTACGAGATTGACCTTTACGAACCCATGTGCTTCCAATATTTTTATAAATTACTTTTTTAAAGATATTGATAAAGGTGATTTACTGACTTTTATATCCAATAAAATCATATTTAAGTACTAAAATATTAATGAAAATAAATAAAAACATTATCTTGAATAAAAACATCGAAATCATGTCAACAAAATGTTCTAAAAATAGTACACGACTATTCAAATCGGTTCCCACAATTGACGTCATACAAGGTCTCCCGTGGCACCTTAATGTCATGGACGACTATAGTCGGCGTAAATTTATGTTTTACAGTTAAATAGGCAATTTTAATGACGGTATTAATATTTTGATACTTTAATTGGTATAGAACCATATGAAAATAATTGTTTTATCGTAAAATGCACAAGAATTGATTGGGTCAAGTGTATTTGCAAGTGAAAAATAAGAATAAATAAACTTATGTTATTCTGGTTAGGTTTCATAACGGGTCTAATCCAAAACTTTAATGACGCATCTGATGAAAAACAAAAATGTTAAGTAGCAGCTTATAAAGTTTTGGAAGCCAGAACTATTTTGTACCCTGATGTTTGAACAAAAATACAATTTATATCTACACAGTTATTTTCTTTGTATAAATTTTAGGTTTGCCAGCCTTATGCTACAATGAAGTTGGAACACAAAGGCAACCAGGATCTTCCTCAGAATCTATTCTAGCAGAAATATTTGGACCCATTCTTAAAGCTGTTCCTAGGAATAGAAGATCTCTTGAAAAAAGAAAATTGAGAAAGATGCAACTACCAGTAATGAGTACAGCAAGACCCAAGAAGAATATTGTGATATGTTTAAACTGCGGACATCCCCATGAAAGAGAGACAATCTGTGGTAAATATTCCTGCCTGCTCATGAATTGAAATTTATTTTAAGTTTAAATATGATTATGAAACAAGAACTTGGCACTTACATTTATAATGATTGGGTCCACTTTCTTGACATGAGCATCAAGTACTGGTGTTGTCTTAGGAAATATGATTGCAACTAGGGTTTTCAGATTGGCAATCCATGTCTTCTATTAAAATTTAGATGCTGCTAAAATCCGTTACAGTTTTAGCCTGTAGATTAAAATATCCACCTTGATCCTTGGCCAAATCACTTAGAATGCACATCTGTTGCAGATAAAACTGAAAATAATTTGTAGCTTGAGTAGGGCTTGAACCTTCAACCTATATGTTGTAACTGTTGCGAGACAGAATCCTTAACCACTAGGCGATGTGAATGTAAGTGGAAGAAGAATAGTCAATAAAAGAGCGTCTTTGGCGGCTTGGCTGTTGGTCAGACAGGGACTTTGGATTCTTTCATGTGAGGAAGCTATCCAGCTAGCTTACAGAACATTGGTGGTTCTACTCGGGTGCCTGTTTGTGCCTGAAATAATGCACGGAAGGGCACCCGAGGTCTCACCATAACAGCAAAACTGGGAAGTCGCCATATGACATATACTGTGTTGGTGTGACGTAAAACCCAACCAACCAAAAAAAAAGAATTGTCATGAATATAGACAATGGCTTGTTTAAAATTTCATCATTCCAAAAAAAAACAGTCATATGAATATGTTTTTACTTTGAAGCAAGCCTCTTATTATTGTAAATTTAAATAAAAAAATAAAGGAAAAAGGATTTATGTAAACATTTAACAAATGCTTATTGGGGTTTGATTTGTTATAGGTAATTGCTACGGGAAAGTGAGAGAAGAGACGGCAGCAATGAGAGAAGCTATGGGAGAAGATAAGTACTATTATGATCATCCGAGACAAGAGGTTGCATATCTGTACAAGGGCGAGGAGGGAATGAAAGATCTCCCTATGTATAAAGGCAGATATCTCGTAGAAATACCAAGAAAAAGACCAAACTGGTTTAATCTAGACTTGCTAAAAAAGGTGAAAGGAGAAACGTGATAGAAATTTCAAGTTTAACAAAGGTTTTCCTTTTTAAAAATTGAAAAGCTTGTGAGTGTGTTACACATAAGTCAACTCGGGCAACTTGAATGGATGGAATAGTTGATCCTCTGTACAAATTATTATGCAAGTGTTTTTTGAAGTTCAGCTGTTATATTGTGACATTTATTTGGCATTTAGAAATTGAGAGAAAAAATGTATAAAAGGCATTTTAAAAAAGCAGAAAAATCATTTGGTGTGTTTTTTTACTTGCAAAGATATAATAGAAACATATGTATATACATGTATTAAAGTGATAAAGAATCATATTAAATCTACAATATTTATTTGAAATGGCCAATTTTCTGCTTTATTGGTGAAGGAAAACCTTAGATACCCTGCATGCATTAATTTTATATGGTTTCATAAAGGCATGAACAAAATGTCTATGATATGCTACAATGATGCAGTACTCTGTAAATGGATAGTATTAAATAGTGTAGAGCTACATATACTTGGCAGACTTGATAAACCAAAAAAGTATCAAAATAATTGAAAGACTGATGTCCATCTATCTGTCATGCTTGTCCATCCAAAGATATCTGGATCCTGCCATAACTCAAATTGTTTAACAGCTAGGTTGATGAAACTTGGTATGTAGAAAGAGGGCCATTTGGTGGTTATTCATGTCATTTTAATTTTTTCACATGTTCATCTTTCTGCCAAAAGAAATTGCAATCCTGCAGTAACTCAAAAAGAACAAAAACTTTCCATACGGAAATTATGCACAATGACATCATTTTCATTTTTTCACCCATTATCTGTCTTTCATTCAGTCAGTTCAAAGAACCTGCAATAACTCAAAAAGTACAAAAACTTTATTGATGAAACTTTGTATGTGGTTGATGATACTTGGTATATGGATATCATATGAAGATTATTCATGTCATTTTAATTTTTTTTTCATTGTCCAAAGAAATTTAGATACTGCAATAATACAAATACATGTAATTAAAAAAGTGCTAAAGCTAGGTTGATCATTCTTTGTATGTGGGTCCATATGGAGATTATCTATGGCATATTAATGTTTTTCGTCACTGAAAAAATTCTGCTAGCTATGGTCACCTAAATTGTAATATTGGATATGTAACTGATAAGACATCCTGTGATTACTCAAAAAGTTAACATTTGTTCCTGAATAAAAAAACCCAAAACAAATTCTTTAAAGTCAAGATCTGCATTTATATTGGTTGAGATACTAAGGCAATCAGACAATATTACACTGGTGCCCAGTGGTGGGGGACTGCTGCGTTATCTACGACAAGCTCTTTATAAGCAAGCAGATTAACTTCTACACTACTGAACATAAAAATTACGCGACAAATTAACATGCAGGGCTTCCATGGCTGAGTGGTTATGGACGCAGGTCTTCAAATCAGGTGCCCCTAATCACTGTGGGTCTTTTGATAAGCTATTTAGCTAGCTTATGGCAGGTAAGAGTGCCGCTCTAACCATAAATTATGCACCATGGGCACCAAACATTTTCCACTCGCCAGTATAGCTGAAGGGTCACCATAGGTGTGATTGCAACCCAACAAAACAAACAAGGTAACATGTGTTTAAGTTTGTTCTTTGCCATTTAAGTTATACCGTCATCATTTTAAAAAAATCTCGGCAGAAAATAGTGATAATAAACAACTGTAAAGATTTCAATGTTTATTCAATTATAAAATATATCTAAATCAATTCAATATTTGGAATGCTAGTCAAATTAACGGACATGTACATACATTTGCAGAGACCAACAATTTGAAAACATTTCATGTAATGGTCTTGCAGTAAGGTTTCATAGTACCAAAAAATTCTTCAAAAAATAATTCCAGTCAAATTTCTTGTAAAAAATTAATCTTGTTAAGGGGCAACAACTTTGAAATTTTTGGACAAAGTGATAATCTTTCTTCAGAATGTATTCTTATATTTCATTATTGCATTGCAAGGAGAAAAAAATTTTACTCAAAATCTTCATAAAAACCATTGACTGACAATACTTTGTTTTATAAATGTGTAAAAATACACGGTTACCTACTGATTTATGGATTTTCAATTACAGCTATTCATCGACAAGAGTTACAACATGTTCATTATATATATCTATTGAAAAGTGGACATCCAAAAAAATAATCTTAACAAAATAAATAAATACATACAAATATACACAACATTTTAATTTTACTTACTTAAAGCACAATCAAGATAATTTGGACGGAGTACGATTCTTCAATGCTACGTAAAACATGTCAGTAGAGAACTTATAGTACAGTATAACCTCTGCAGAGTGACCCTCTGTAGAGCAATAACCTCTATATAACAACCATATCAATTCCTTCAAAAGAATTCTAGATAATTTGATCTCTCCTAGAGCAACACCTCTCAGCAAAGACCAAAATCATTTTGTCTCCAAAATGGTTTTTTCCTGTAGAGGTTGTAACTTTACCATGTAATAAAGTTGAGCTTTTTGAAAATCAAAAGAAAGTACTTTTAAGGGACACAAAATGAACTTCAATTAATGCTGAATTTTCAAAAGAATAAAATCCAGTTCAGTACACACCTAGATTCTTTTGTTACAGATCCATCAAAAAAATAAAAATTTCATAATTACTTTAATACATGGGTATTGTCAGATTTATATATAAGGACATTTTTTAAGTAAAACAAAAAATATTCGACATCACTTTTTCAATATTACAAAGATACGAATTTCATGGATATAATTATCAGATCCAATAATGAGAGAGGTGGTTTTGTCTATCACAGTAAGGACAACTATGCTTAACCAGTTGTAAATCAAAAACAAGAAGTTGCTAGAAGTAAATTATTTTAGAGAATCAGCTGTAAATGCAACAGTTAAGATAGAAGTGAATACCTAGTTGCACAATGTGTACACCAGGTAGTTCTTTTTCTATAACTTACTGTGTATTGTACACAACTAGTTGTAGATGTACATTAAACTGTTACTTCAACTAAGTGTACACTGTACACAACTAATTGTAAACTGTACAAAACTAATTGTACATTAAAACAACTGATATTCATTGAGCTACAACTAATAGCTGACTGTAAATTTACTATCTGCACATGGAAACAATCTGGTAGCAGTTACTTGATCACAACTAGTTTGTTTGTATAATGGTTTAAATTAATATGATGCTGGATATTGAGAAGAGGAAGGGTTAGTTGAATGGGCCTGCTTGTTTTGTGAAGTTTTGTCTTTAAGTTTCGCTTGTAAGAGAATATGTTCTACAACTCCTTGACGGATATCCATCTGTGTATTCTCCTTCTTTAACTGTGTGATTGACTGCTTGATTTTCACCAGAGGAGCTGCAAAATACATAAAGTGTTAGAATTAATATCTTACATCTTGATTATTTTTGCATTTTGTAGCTTTTGCAGCTTTATAGTGTATGTTAACTAATAAGTACAATCAACGATAAATAACATGTCTCAAACTATATTACAATTAAGTAATTTAGTCTATGGAAAATTAGAGCCTGCCAATGTACATTACAACTTCTTCTATTACTTTCATAGCAACTTGAAATGCATTTGTTATGTTGATATTTAAGCATATTATATAATGACCAATATGTGAAGTACATAATTGTGCTTCATTTAATTTTTATATATACCTGATCAACAGGTGTCAATGCCTGGGTAGCATAAGTCACCCAATTTTCTGAATAGCAGAATGTCAAAAAATTCAGGTCCCATGTGGGAAAACATATTTAGTAATAGTTATATTGTACAATAAGGTGGCCTATAACTACCATCGTCATAAAACTGGCTAAAGTAATAATTAAATAGTTTGTAAGGCATTTCAATGATAAGAATGTATACATAATGTTACCTCCATCAGTCATACTGCTACCCCTGTCCTCCATTTCCATTTTAACTTTCTCTAATTCCTCAGTTACCTATAAATAGATATATACATATAAACACAATCAAACCTGAACTAAAGGTTGCTACCAAATATTGTCACTTGCCACAAACAGTTTTTTTTACACTTTCAACTTTTTGGCATTTGTTCATAAGTTTTACTGTATTGTGACATACAGTAAAATATCATATATCAATGACTACATGTACTTAAAAGTTATGTAAAATTTTAGTTTCCAAAGACATTTCGCGGTCTCTCGAATAAACCATTTACATTATCTAGACTTTTTAAATTTCAACCATATAATGTACATTATCTAGACTTTTTAAATTTCAACCATATAATGTACATTATCTAGACTTTTTAAATTTCAACCATATAATGTACATTATCTAGACTTTTAAATTTCAACCATATAATGTACATTATCTAGACTTTTTAAATTTCAACCATATAATGTATATTATCTAGACTTTTTAAATTTCAACCATATAATGTACATTATCTAGACTTTTTAAATTTCAACCATCTAATGTACATTATCTAGACTTTTTAAATTTCAACCATATAATGTACTTTATTTAGACTTTTTAAATTTCAACCATATTATGTTACAGACTTTAAATTCTTTAGATGGAAGGATTAAAGCAAATGCTTTCAATTGAAAACATTGAAATTCAAAGAAGAACTCTTCATGCAAAGCAACTGAAAGAACGTAAAACTAAATCTGTGACCATTACATTTGAAACTTTTTTCTGACATTATATTTAAGCCATATTTCGGGGCTTTGGTAAAATTTCATTTATTTTTTTTCTAATTATTCTGCTAAACCTTATAAACCATAAATCCTACCTCTGCCAATAACCTTGACCTCTCAGTGACCCCACCACTGGCTTGTCTATATCTCTCTTTCGTTTCTGCGAGACTGTCTTGTGCTCCTCTAAACTCCACCAGATGGTGCTCTAGCTGGTTATTTATGTATTTCTCTCGACTATTTATCTTCTCTAGTGTACGTGTGATCTCATCGTGGAGTTTATCAAGGTATGACTTGGTCTCGATCAGTGACGTTTCTATCCCCTCTTTGTGTTGATGCATTTGTTCCACATGAACACGCCAGTCCTAAATATTACAACATAGTTAAGTTTTCATAATCTTTTTCCAACACAGATTTTATGAAATGGTCTTTTCAAATTTAGTACCATCTTTGTGAATTTTAAGATTGAAATACAGTATTTATGAAATACTTGTCAGGGAGCATAATTATTACTTACTTTATTTATTGTTATGTACTTTATTCCGTTTGCAAATACTGCAAAATGACATTTTTAAAATCTATGAAAACAAACAACCATATGTCAAACACTTGCATTCTTGTTTCAGGTACATCACCTGTTTCTACATTATTTTGTTACACATCAGTTAGATGTTTAGCTCACATATGTTTCTATGTAATATGGAAGTACTGACCTAATTATCTGACAACTTCTTCACATAAACCAAATGAATAAGTGACAGAAGACGAATGAAGTTGAAGATGCTGTATAGAGGCCACCACAGTCACTGTCTTTAAGTCACATTCTCCTAAGAATCCTGATGGGGACTAACATATTGTCACCTAAGTGCAATAACAGGTTAACTCCTTATATAACTCCCATTACTGCACTAAGGTGACAATAATAATGAAGCTATCCAGCTAGATTATAAATGGGTGTTTATACTGAGAAGATGCTTTACAACTTTATTTTTTTGTGGAAGAGAACAAGTGGTCTATAAGTAACATATTTCCAAGATTTAATTTTAGTAAAGAAGGCCTACCTTATTATCAGTTCTAATGGTAACTTTAAGCTGTGGTAAAACTCTCTCTACTTCAAGTTTCCAGTCAGCAGCATCTGTCGTAGATTCCATGATCTCTTCTGGCTTAGATTTCTCGTCATTGGACTGATAAAATAACAAACTTATCTTTTGTTGTTGTTTTTTTTTAAAAATAATTCTAAACGTCACCCTGAATATAGTTTGCAATGGACTTTGCATTTCGAACAATTCATTTTTGCTTGATTTTAACACATGGTACTTATTTGAACCTGACTGTATTAAAATCTTGAAGGTTATATCAACCACTCTTCAGTTAGCTTCCGAAATTAAGCAGTACTGGTGTAATTATGCAGAAAAATATAGGCATGACCCGAAAAAGGCTTGAACAAAGAATGTCTCGACTGAGAGACAGACATGTAAACCACTAGACTAATTCTGTTCATTGTTATTATGACATTATACTTAGGTAATTCAGTGATCAGTATAACCAAGTAAAATAACAATGGAGAAAATTTCATAATCATTTGATTATGTCAACAAATTTTAATTTAAATATAAATATGTCACTGATGTAATACATACTGATTAAAATATGTTACACAGACTATTATCACTTGTGCGTCTTTATTTACATTTTGGCCTTTTAGCCCTTATCAAAATATGACAATTTCAGTGAAATCATTACATTGTGTTGTTCTTAGAACAAGAATGACGAGTTACAGCGGAACTGAAGTAATGCAACAACAAAATTTATCAAATTGTTTCATTTTACATTCAGAAATCTACAACTCATACCTTAAGATTTAGTTTTCTCAGACCCTCAAGGTCCATCATTGGTTCATCATCTTCAAACTCCTCATCATCGTCATGCATCTAAAAATAGATTTTACTTTGTTATCATAATATTCAGAAAGGAAGTGACATCGAAAATGACAATGTAAAGCTCTTTCCATTGGAGTAACCAACACAAAACATATAACAAATGTATCTTCAACACTATCTGTCAGTAAAATCTGACTTTTACCAACAAAACACTTTTTTCAACTTTATTTGATTTCAGTTAATCTAATCTACTCCAAATATATTATCTTCAACTATTTTTAATGTCAGTAAACTTACCCCAAATATATTATCTTCAACTTTATTTAATGTCAGTTCAGCATCATCTTCTACAATATTTTCCTCCTCCAATTCTTCCTCGGGATACTCAGGTCTGTTACAAAATAATAGAAAATGTTTTGAAACTTTCACTCACCATGATACAAATATTAGCAAAGAATATTTCATGACCTATTGTACTGAAACAGTCAAAAGGGCAGGAGAGTTTCTTAGACAGAGTTCAGCATAACAGAGTCTTTAACTAGAAATGTGTCCATAGGACACGGATGCCCCCACACGCCACTGTTCTGTCAATCTTATGACTCTAGGTCAAATATTTTTTGGACTACATGTGCCACAAGTTGAAAACTAAAAATCAACAAAGGGCCATAATTCTGTTAAATTTGGTCGCAGCGAAAATTCCTTCCTTTACTACCATCTACACATTAAGGTTGTTCATCCCTGGAAGTTAAAGCAAAATCTGTCATCCGGTTTAAGAGGAGTTGCGTTCACAAAATTTCTACATAGTATATAGTGAAAAAATCAACAAAGGGCCATAATTCTGTTAAATTTGGTCGCAGCAAAAATTCCTTCCTTTACTACCATCTACACATTAAGGTTCTTCATCCCTGGAAGTTTAAGCAAAATCTGCCATCCGGTTTAAGAGGAGTTGTGTTCACAAGATTTCGGGACGGACGGACTTACGGAAGGACGGATGGACGGACAAGTGCAAAGCTATATGCTCCCACTCTGTGGGGGCATAAAAATAGATGTAAAGGGACAAAGATATAATGAATAATTATAAATGCAATGTGAGAGAACAATGTTGATGAAATTTCAAGGGGATCAGTACCTTGATGTGTTTATCAATCAGCATAAACAACATAAAAACCACAACTTATTTAGTGCTATAAAAATGGAAAATAATAAGTTTATTATATTTTCAGAGATTCTTCAACCTATATTTTATACATGTATGATGTTCACGAAAAAATAATACAACTTTTGCATGACATACCTTCCCCATCTGAAGTTTGTATGTTTCAGGGCCTCGTCAGCCAGTCTGTCCAGTACATACAGACAATGTTCTCCACAACCTTGCTTCAACTTGGATGGAGGGAAATCCACTGAGTAATTCTGAAGACATAATATAAAATCCAAATCTAAAGTACATATTCAGTAGACCATTTAGCTAAATCTGTAAAAAGCAATCTTACATAGAGTGATGATTTTTATGAACAATTCAATATGGCTTCTTCATTTTAAAATTGTCACTGTCCTATTTTATGTCTTGAAATATTTTGTATTGAACTTAAAAGTAAACATTTTAAAACACATTATCATCATTGCAAGCTGAATATCAAAATAATATGAGAAGTATTTTGTGAATTTTCTTTAAAATCTCATTAAAAGTCTATACTAAAATTTTTTGTTAACACAAGTAATAAAGAATTCAAAATAATCCAGAAAAATTAAAAAATCTTACTCAATTTAGTCAAAAGTTAGTACCTTATATGGGGGGGGGGGGTATTTTTGTGTTGGTTTTTATTCACCACCAACATTGTAAAGGTCAAAAGGTCATAATAATGAAAGAATCCAAAGATCCTGGCAGGATTTTTGGTTGGTGACTTAAAGCACTCAGCCATGGAGATCTGAATCCATATTTAGCTTCTTGAAGAAGTTTGTATTTCCTATCAGTTTTACAGTTTGTAATAGATCAATATAAAAAAACACAGTAATCTGTAAAAAGCCTGTTTTTGAAGTTCATTATCTGTTATCCTATTTGAAAATTTATTGTATACCTTCCACCAATTTCAAAAATACCTATTTATACCAGATGTGAAGTGCCTTGTTTATATAACATAATTCAAACTCTGCTCCTTCAGGATAATCAAGTAATATCAAAGTAACAAATACTTTGTAACGCAAACAGAATACAATACTAGTAACCAGACTGTGTACTTCTGGCCCCTTGACAACAAAATTTTAAAATTGTAATGCTTTAAATAGATCAAATTATGAAGTTAGTTGAGTATAAAGTACACATTTAGTAAATATTTAGTCAAAACTGAAGTTAGTTTCTATCAAGTACTCTTCACAAAACAAACTAACTTCTGTTGCAAATGATGCAATTTTTATGTAATTTTGCTGGCTTTGATGCTTCGGAGGCACATCACTTTTTTCAGATATTGGCCTTACATGTATTACTTCCAACCATACATACCGTAAAATTCCTAATAAATGCCCCCCCCCAGGCCTTTTGATAAGGAAAACAATCTACTTATCAGTGCTGAACTCATAATTAATTAAAGCCATAATTTTTATTCAAATCATTCAGAATCCATAGTATTTTTAAAAATTTATAGTAAACACAAATATTTATAATATGATCTTTAAAACCTTAACACTTTTTAATCTTGCTAACACTAAATGTATTTACAGTGATTTTTGGATTTAGAAAAACTGTATTGTAATAATAGCCCCCCTTTTGAAAAATGTTTAGCCCCTGGGGGCGTTTAATAGGAATTTTACGGTATATCTGTCCATGCCAAGTTTTCAACCTCAAGAACCAAAGTTATGACCTAACACTGCAAAACTGTAGTGTCAACAAGGTTGGCCCAAATTATTCAGAAACTGGATATACATGACTATCCACTTAAATTATAATTATGCATGCACATCTTAAAACACCATCCCATGTGTTTCATTTCTCTATGCTTAGTGCACACCTTCAAACAATTCACTACATTCTAATATTCTATCTATTTAGCTCATTTTCTTTCCAAATCTACAAAATTACAATTTTCTCTGTTCCTTTCTAAACATTAAAATATTTATCTAGATTAAAGACATAGCTCTAAGTCTTACATGCATTAAATCTATGCATGCTATGGTAGTGAATTCAAGTAAACTGGCAAATAAATGGAAATGTTCTGTAAACTCAAATATTGAGTAATCATAAATCTTTATTTTAAACAACAAAATTAAGGACTGAAAACAACACTCTTTTAGTTTTATGAAAAGAGGCAAATAAAAACTACTGCCTTTGAAATCAGGCACTTTTTTATAGACATTGAAAATTGAAGTTTTATAATCAGTAGCTGAAGTTTAGTTCTGTGAAATAGTTTTTTGCCAAAATCCATTTATTTGCCAGTCTTCTAAAAGCTAAAAATAGCCACCAATCAAATATCTTATACTTTGTTTTTCAGTACAAACCAAACACCAATATATAGTAATAAAATATAATAACCCTCCTGGCTCCATGATTATTTTTTGTTTTTTGTTGTTGTTGTTTTTGTTGTTTTTTTTGGTGTCAGAGGTATATTAAAGAAATAGAAATCAAACCCCAGATTTCACAACAATATCTGACTAGATTATAATCAAATGCCTAGAAACAAGGGAAGGGAGTACAACATAACATACATGTACACCAGGGTAGTCAATATACTATCCATTAAAAGGTCTACCAGTTATTTCTTAACTGTCTTTTTTACATTGTAAACAGTTTTAGTACCCACAAAATGGTTTTAATTCATTACAACAAAAGCCAATTTCATAACATGAAAAAGTATGGATGATCTATAGCATAAATGATTTATTTTACATTGCTTTTTTGTTTAGCATGCAAATTTAGCATTCCTTCCTTCACCTGTTACATGAATATCAAACATCACTCTCAAAACACAAGTAACTTTTTTGAGGTTGGGTTTCAAATAACACCAAAAACAATAAAGGTATTATGGCAACTTTTCCAGAGAAATTGGAGAAAGGCTTGAGTAGCACCTCTCTGCAGTATTTTCTGGCAGACCAGATACCGTAGAAGAACTTTTGGAGCTCGATATGCTAGTTGGAAAGGAATTCTAACAGGATTTCAATGAAAAGCAGTGAGGAGCTGGTGTTTCAGAAACCAGTGACCTTTACAAGTAGGAGCTTTCACAATTAACTTGGAAAACAACAGTTCTGACAACACTTTTACAAGTTAACATTCACACACATATCGTTCTACATTATGAATGAAGGATGTCGAAAACATTAGATCACAAGAGCTGGTTGAACTAGGTGATGCTCCCTGAATAGGTGTTGGACACATAGAAGTAGTTTCTTGTTGATATCTCCTGTAGTTTCAGAGTTTTGTTCCAAACAAAGTTCACAGTGAAATCAAATGCACTGCACTTCTACTCAATGAGATCTATCTAACCACAAAGTTTCTTGTTTATACCTCTTGTAGTTTCAGAGTTGTGTACTGGACAAGAAAATCAGATGTACGAACAATCATACGGAAGGACAGACAAAGCGGCGACTATATGCTCTCCCTTTTGGGAGCATAAAAATTGGTAAATTATCTTAATCTTCTAGTAAAATATGCTTAAAATGATGATAACAAATATAAAATGTTTAAATGGTGGCAATCTAGTTATACTTACATTAATAACTATAACTTCGCATTTATCATTGCTACCAGATTTCTGGGTCTTTTGACCCTTTGTTTAAGAGAAAGAATGGTACGATAATGAAAATATTTTAGTACTGTATGATAGAAATAATATAACATTGTAGAATAATGTGACATATACTTTGGTGGACATAGATTTAGTATTAAAACAATCATTTATACAAGTTTAAAGTCCCTGTACGTAAAAAATTTAATGCTTTCAAATGATAAATATACTGCATAAATGAAGATACTCTTAAATGATAAAATCTACAGCATTAATCAAGAATCGTCAACGTTATGTTTCATAGAAAGCATTCTCACTGATATTGGAGAGTTTAACAAAAATTATTTTCTGCAACTAAAGGGAGATAATTAGAAATAAATTATTGATACATTTTTTGGGGGCTTTTTCTGCAATAAAATAGAATATGCTTTATTTTTAAAGTAGTTATAATTAATGGAAACAACTGACTTATAACATTTTTTATAGATTTTCTTACTGTCATATAACATTTTTAATATTTTTTGTGTTCTTTTTTGTTATTTTTTTTCTTTATTTGAACACTGCTTATTTGATCACTGTACACGGAACTTTAATCACATTTAAATATTTCTTGTTTGTTCATAAGTATATATTTTGTTAAAAGAACCAGAACATGTACTATTTTTCATGTATGTTAAATCCTTCACTAACACAAACAGCATATGGAAACTTTATAATGCCAGGTAAACCATGATTTTGTAAAAATTAATTAGAATGAAATGAATAAACCATGATTTATAAATGAAATACATCTATAATATCATAATAATATCATAATATAATGAATAGGTTAGTAAAACTGAAAATTTACCAGAATATGCATAAACTCTAACATAACTTTTCTACATAAAGAAAGCTATTATTCATATTATTCAGGGGAAAAGAAAAACATAAAAAATCAAAAATTCAAAATATTATGCTAATCAAGTGTTAAACTGACTTATGTATGTGAACAAATGATGACATATTGTCTGAAATAATCTAACTGAACTAGGACCCTAAAACAGAGTTACCGGCAAAACACAGCATTCAATTTTGGGCCACAAGGCTTAAAAATATACTGTAAGTCTATCAATTTCTATAATAATAAAGTATACAGGTACATAACTTTGCCATTTATGATTTAGTAAGTAAACTATAGTCAGGGAAAGCCTTCTACGGGGAAAAAGAGGAAGGAGTGTTGGTATAAAAGGGGGATATGTGCAGGGATACAAGGGTGAATGCTATATAAACACAAAAAAATCAACTTACAAATCTTTTAACTTCTGCAATGATACTTGATATTGTTGCATTAGGATCATCATACTATAATTTAAGATAAAGAACATACATAAATTATTAATCATAAAGCTGAAGTAATAAAAACACAATTCTGAAAGAAAGTGCATAAAAAAGAAACATTTTATTAAATAATGAATGGTATATGGCTTATTTATCAAGATAAATATAATTTTTAATTCAACCAGATATTTGTATGCCATATGAAGATTATCTTTCTCTGATTAAATTGCAACATTGGTTTTGAATGGGAAGACACTTTTGTCAAGAAGAAAGGTTATGTTACTTTCATATATTTTTACCACTGAAACATGTATTTTATAATTGCTTTCAATGTCTAAGATGATTGCCTTATTTGAAAACAAAATATGGGCACGCAATTTCTCCCGCAAAAAATTGGCTCCCAGTAAAAACCTGCCTGTGTAAGTGTAGTCAAAATACTAAATACGTAATAACACAAACCTCCTGTGGTTGTTCAAAGTTCTTCCCAGCTGTTCTTAACAGCCAAGCTGCTAGTGATGTGAACATGAAGAACTGTTCTCCTGGGTTAGTAGCAATAGCAAAATAATGCCTGAAAACAAAATGATTCACATGATTTACAGATCTGATCAGTTTATCTTCAACTTGGAAAACCAATAGCTAAATTTCATGCTGAACTTGAGTTACTTGACTTTTCATATATATCACTTCCATATGTATTGTTAGACACATGAAAGTATAAATGTATATCTCAGCATGAAGTAAGTTGCATCAGTACAAACTAATTTGAAGCTATTTAGTATTTTAAATTTCTTTCCCAGTTATTCAAAGCTATCTTTTATGGGATTTCTTTCTTTAGATTGTTTGCATACAATAGACTGCATACAATAAAAGCCAAATACAGGCATTTTCCAAATTGATGAAACTGTTGGAAAAAAACACTAAAAAGGAAGATTTCATTAACCAGTCCAAATATTTTTGTGTAAAAATGGTCTTTTATGGCATAAAAGAAGTAATGATAAAAACATTATTAATAAATTTATGTGAATCATTTTATCACCTGAAATAAGTAAATGTTTTAAATATTTTCTTATTGTCTTATGTTTCTCAAACTTAAAAAACATAGGTAGTAGCAAAAATACGCTCAAAATCAAGTTGTAACATTTTGACACTTACTTAAAATAAAGAAATCTAAAAAAATTATCATAAAAAATAAATAGAAAAATATCTATGAAAAAATTACCTGCTCATGGATTTCATATTAAGAGGTTTTATAAATTCAGTTTCATAACTGAGTAGTCTGAGTTTATCAACAAGTTCTTCATTCACGACAAATGGCATGTACACTAAACCTGGCCCACCATCCTCGACAGCATCCTCACCTCGTTTCTTATCTTCAGACATCTTTCTATTAACTTTTTAAATGCTCTGAAATTTAAATTATAAAAAAAGTTATTAAAATAGACAATTAATTAATTGACAATTGAATGTGGTGATTCCTAGGTAGCTTAATTAGCTATTAATGATGTTTACTTTAGAGTTTTGCTTTGATGTCACACGTGTATACTGGCATATAACAACTAATATTCAAGGTCTATTCTATCGTGTAACTGTTACCTGATAGAAACTGCCAAGACTTAGCGTCAACTTTTCAAACCAATCATTTATATCAGTAGAGAGTACATAATTATGAGTTTAGCAGTTTAACTGGGTTAATGATGTAAGTACTACTTTTTCATGGATTTTTGGTGAATGAGTCCAATAACAGTAACAGTATTTTTCCATATTATGAATTATATTGGTTGAAGGTTATTCTGCATTACAATATCCAAGATTATTTTAAAAAAAATAATTACTTGAAAATTTTACATTTATTCAGTTTGAAAAGAAGCATTTGTTTCCAAAGTATGTCCTCCCCACACGGTGACACCAAAACTCAAATAGATCAAATCGAAAAATGTCCAAAGAGCAGCCCGGTGGATTAAGCTAGATTATGGTCAGACCTCTAGCGTCACGAACATGCTTCACTCCCTTAACCTTCAAAAACTGGAACTAAGATGTAAAGATGCTGTGTTATCCCTTCTCTAAGATTCACCATGGTCTGGTTGCTAACCCTACAGAAGAATATTTCACACCCCTCTTCCGAGCATCAGGCCATGGCTATCCCTTATGTTATAGGTTATTCACAGCAACTTCAGACTATTTTACATTCTCATTCTTTCCTAGGACGGTATACCACTGGAACCACCTTCCCCTGCAGTTGCCCTACCTCTTACCCCACAGCAGTTCAGTGCAGCCTTAGTTTGCATCGAACATGTCTCACCCTAGTTTTCCAGCCCGTTTTTAACATTTTTAAATATTCTTCTATCTCTTTTAAACAATTTTTTTAAACTATTTTGCAATTTTTGACGCGCAGACATGTCCCCATGAGGGATTTGACATTAGCGGAAGATAGATAGATATCTATAATAACAGCTAAATAACGAATTGTACCACACACAACCCTGTAATGTACCAATCAATTTTGGCCTGGCTCAGACGCCAGAGTGTCTGAACATTATTCCTTGAATTTGTGTATCAAATATTGGTTACATCTGACTGCAAAGTTGGTGATTTACTCCTTATTTTAAGACTGAATATGGTTTAGACTTAAAAAGGTAGGGGCTAATTCTACCTATCTATCTTTCATCTTCAATTAATGTCAAACCTCTCGCTGGGACATAGACACGACTATAGACTAGTCACTTCAGGGAAAGCTATGAGATACAAGGGAATGCGGGAACCAGTCCCTAGCTCTTATTGAAAAGACCCATTGGTTCTTTTACATGTCCAGTTTATAGCACTGATACATGGGAGGATTACCTGGATTTCTTACCAGTTCACGTCTAGTTAGGTGGGAAACACTGAGTGTCTCTGAAAAATCCCAAGGGTGTTACCCAGGATCGAACCCGGGAACTCACTCAAGAGTGACAGCCAGTGGTCTAACCAACTGAGCTATTGCGCCACCTATACATCATTTCTGAAGATCACATTAACTTGTGCATTTTCTGACTTAGTCACTGTTGTAAATCAGTAACTGTCACTACTGTGTTACTGTTAGTGACAAAATAATTGACAGTTTACTAGATTTATATAAAAGATTTATCATGTATGAATGCAATAAAATCAGAAAAGAGTTGTCCTTTAATTCCAAAAACACCTTTTGTTCATACCTGCAGGGTAATTGTTTGCTTATGTCTTGGTAATGTGGTAAAATTCTTCTACATATCTTCAGTCAGTTTACAAAATTTTCAGATGTAAAATATTTAGAAATACGTAGACACAACCCCAGCTTTACATAAATACAAATGTAACTAAAGCATTAAAATACTATTGATTAGTAAATCTCATACTTTTCATAACTTATTTTATAACAAAAAATGTTTTCACTACACCCAGATTATTTTCATTTAGTAAAAACGCGAGAAATCTTTGTAAAAATTTAAATTCGAATATTCGGCTCAGTAACCAGTATAAACAACATGGCGGACATGGACAAAAACAACATGGATCAATTTCTTGACAAAGTCAACGAAATTGGTAAGCCTTTAATGTGTTTTTTTTTTTAATTAAGTAAGCAACAAAAATATGAATTTTGAAACTATCTTAAAAATGTAAAAGATAAGAAGTTGAAATGAGATAGCGGCGTTTATTTTAATATGACTTTCTGGAATGTTCTTTCGGTTTCTGTTTCAAATTGATACAACTTTACCTTGTAATTATTTTAATCTGATATTTAATTTAGTTATTCAAATAAATGTTATGATTTTACATATTTTTTTGAAAATGTATTTAACATGTACACTATATTCTGCAGCACTAAAACATAATAAATAAATCTCATGATGTTCTATTTTCTAACTTCTGTGTTTAATCTGTGTTAAACTGTTCTTCTTCTTCTTCCAATACTGTACATAACCCACTCTGGGGCATTGACGTACAGGGTGTATGCACAAAGTGATGTGCCGCAAATAAGTGCAGGTTTGAAAGAAGAACATGTTAAAAATAAAATCGACTCCGGCATATTAGGCCCCCATGACTAGTCCTCCCTTGAAGGCATCAAGGTTGACTGCTGTGGCTAGGTGCTCTGGAAGCTGGTTCCACAGGCGGATGACTGAAGGTACAAAGGAGAACTTCATGGTGTCCGTTCTGCAGAATGGGACATGGAATCTGTGTCCGTAGCCATGGTCACCTAGTGTCAGGGGGTGGAAGTACTGTGCAGCTGGGATGGCTATGGGGTTGTGCGTGATCCTGTAGACCATCACTAGCTTGGCATTGGAGCGGCGATGCTGTATAGTTGGCCAGTCTAGGTCTGTCATCATTGCAGTGGTGCTGCTTGTAGTTTTGTAATCGCCTTTTACAAATCGGGCAGCTCGCCTTTTGACAGCTTCCAGCTGGTTGATGTTGGTGGCTGTGTGTGGGTCCCAGACTGTGCCTGCATACTCCAGGATTGGTCTAACAAGGGTCTTGTAGGCCTGGGCCTTGATACACAAACAATCAAAATGTTGTACTCCACATGGATACTTCTGTCTTCTCATTGGTATCATTGCATACAAACATGTGCTAATTTGCATATATAGCACCACGGTATATATTGAAGATTGACCTAGAAAATATTGCCTTTGATTATTTATGTAACTTTGATTGATATGTGAGTTGTTAAGTAAGGATGCAGCAGTCAATTTCCATTAAAATAGGTCAGTGAAATTATGTCTTTTCAGTCATACAAATTTATGGAATAAAAAGGTGTTGTGGTACTGAAGGGTCTTCGTTACCTCTTTACCCATTATTATCATTATTTAAACATGTGATATATATGCATGGCAGATTGACTTATGTTATTTTCTTTGATCATTTCCCAATCTTAAAAAAAATTCCCAATCAAACTGATTTTTTTGGTATAAAAACTGACAAATTTGCTGAAGATAAGATATTATAATGACATGCAATATGGCCATTTAACCAGAATTGACAGATATAAGATATATTTTTTATAAGTTTATCTAAAATATAAAACAAATCTTTTCTTTTCTGTTTTTCAGAGTCAATTGTGAAAGGGTTAAGAGCAGATAAAGAGGAAGATGTCAAAGACTCAATGGATAAAGCTGATGAACTCATAGCAAAGTTGTCAGAAGAGAAGAAGAAGTTTTCTGAAGCTGTTAAACATGATGATAAAGATCTCCCAAAAACCAAAACAGGTAAATATGCAGACTAAATGTACATATGACATTTGCACAATTCCCTTCTTAAATTGTTCATATCTCTTGGTTTACACACAGACAGAGGGAGTGTTAGGTCTATGACCCTAAGACTTAAGAATCTGACACCCAGGGAGCATCACTTGTATTGATTGAAGACATGTACCGCGATTCAAGTGATTTAACTTGCAATATGATATAAATATTTTTCTGTTCTAGGTTTTAGTAAGACCAGTATCAATAAGAGCTCTGCCTCAGATGAAATGCCAGGACAAAATGATGTCAACTTTGATGGAATGGATAATGGTAGGACAATTAAGAATGTTTAATCATCATGTCTTGAAATCCTCCTTTTGCTTTTTTCCTCTTATGATATTATTGTGACATATTTATGCATGAGGTTTATTCAGCAAATTGCTCTTTATTATTTATAAATGCAACAATGGTTTAATCAGTGTTCCTCAAAGGTTCCAATAAAAATGAAATACATGTACAAAATATTGTTTTTACCAAAATGAAGGGCTATGGAGTGAAAATAACATTTATTTAAAAAAAAAAGATTCATTAATTCAAGTTGGCATAATATTAGGTTAGTTTAAACATACTCATTCCCAATTGTATACATAAATATTCACATACTAGTATTCAACAAAAGTTTACATAAAAGAAAAAGGATGAAAATGAAAGACAAGTCTTATTGAATTCTACATTTGGCATATATTGAACATACATCAAAAATTAAGCTCATAATTTATTGAAATTACATTGTAGATTTTCTTCAGAACCCAACAAATGTGGGTTTTTCCCATCTAATCTGGGAAAACAAACAGTTACCATTTTAGCTTATTAGTACACTATACTGCTCACAATAGAGTGATCAACTGATGTACTTATTTTCAATATATTTAATAATAGTTAGTGCAAAACAAGATTTTATTTTGTAAAAAGTAATGTTTTTATGCCTGAGTTTGTTGCCAAATTTCAAAATATTCTTAATTCCAGAGTAACTATGTTGTAACCATAGATGATACTGAAAACATTTTCTTCTTGTTTTTGCTATTTGAATAAAAAATATTTAACATGTGTTATGAATTTTTACAGCTGGGTTCATGGCAGCAGTTGAGGCAGATGCTAAAGAAAGAGCTAAACGTAAAGCTGAGAGAATGAAAATAGCCGAGGGCTATAAAGAGAAAGGCAATGTAGAATTCAGGGGAGGCAACTATGAGCAAGCACTTGATTGGTATACGCAGGTAGTTAAATTTCATGAAATTTTATTTAGTGCATCTTTTCCTCCAGACACATAACCACAATGTTTGATAAAAAAAATCAAATTTTAGGAAAATAAATTAATACTTTGAAAGAAATGTATACATTTTTGTATAGCAGTCACCCATTTGTCGGCGTCCCTGTGGTTAAGTTTTTGCGTGTAAGCTGGTACCTCCATAACTACTGAAGGGAATGGATTTAAACTTCACACACTTGTTCTCTGTGATTATCTAAGATGATTGGCACAAGTCCCATAACTCTGATTTGCTTTTTAGTCCCCTACCGGTCTACCGGAGGGGACTTTAGGTTTACCCTCCGTCCGTCAGTCCGTCCGTCTGTCCGTCCGTCAGTCCGTCCGTCCACAAAACTGGATCCCGCGATAACACAAAAAGTACTGAAAATATTTTAATGAAACTTGGTATATTGATAGATGGCAGTATGGAGATTATGCACGTCTTTTTCTTTTCTTCCTATGTTGAAAATTCTGGTTGTTATGGCAACAAATAGACTGAAAATATGGCAAATTTTACACATAACCTGGATCCCGCGATAACACAAAAAGTACTGAAAATTTTTTTATGAAACTTGATATATGGATAGATGGCAGTATGGAGATTATGCACGTCTTTTTCTTTTTTTCCTATGCTGAAAATTCTGGTTGCTATGGCAACAAAAAGACTGAAAATATGGCAGATTTTACACATAACCTGGATCCAGTGATAACGCAAAAAGTATTGAAAATATTTTTATGAAACTTGACATATGGGTAGATGGCAGTATGGTAATTATGCACATCCTTTTCTTATCTTCCTGTGTTGAAAATTCTGGTTGCTATGGCAACAAATAGACTGAATTTCAAGATTTCTGATTCTAGTTTTTAAGTTTTTTCACTATAAGTTCTTTATTTCTTAAGGTATTTTCTTCAAACTTTAAAAATAAGTTGCTAGTCATCATCCACATCATATGTGACAAAGTTTACAACTCTAGCACAAAATTTATCAGAATTACCTCCCTTGAACTTAAAATTTTCATGAAAAAAAACATTGTTTTTTTTAATAACTTCTTTTTTTCTGAACGTATCTACTTCAAACTTCATATAAATGTTTTTATTATCACTCAACATTTTTGAGTGTTCAATACTCTAGCAAGACTATTTCCAGAATTATGCCCCTTTTGAACTTAGACTTTTTTTTGAGAAATTGGTAATTTTTACTCCAACTTCTTCAATCATGATAGAATTTTTTTTCAAACTTCCACATCATTAATATGACAAGGTTTATAAATCTAGCATCCATATTTCCAGAATTATCTCCTCCTTAAACTTTTAATTTTTCCTATTTGTTCTTTTAACTTTCATTTACTTCAATTTCAAAATAAATATTCAATATTCATACCTTCATTACTAATTGTTCTTTGTTACACTCACATCATGAATGACATCGTTATCTCCTTTTTTTTAAAATTTTGCTTTTAAAATGTTATATTTTGATAACAGGGATGTTTAAAAAATAACTTTAGACTGTCCTTCAGTCTGTCTGTTCACTGTGATCACTTTTAAAGAACTTTTTCAACAAATTTACTTAAAATAGAAACATAAGTGAATGGCCAATGGCCCTTCAGAATGTTGCTTGGGCTCTTACCGGTAGGGGACTTATGGATTGCTTGCAATACTATGATAATTGCTTGTTTACATAATTATGCCCCTTTTTCGACTTAGAAATTCTTGGTTAAGTTGTTGCGTGTAAGCTGGTATCTCCATAACTGCTGAAGGGAATGGATTGAAACTTCACACACTTGTTTTCTGTGATTATCTAAGATGAATGGCACAAGTCCCATAACTCTGATTTGCTTTTTTGCATAATTATGCCCCTTTTTCGACTTAGAAATTCTAGGTAAATTTTTGCTTGTAAGCTGGTATCTCCATAACTTCTGAAGGGTTTGTACCTTTTCGGACAATTTTATGTATTCATATAGGTAAGCATTATTATACTCAATGAAACACCCTTGTGACAACTTTTCGAATAGTCGAGCGTTACTGTCCTCCGACAGTTCTTGTCATACATTGTAATCTATATAATGGTTTACACAAAAATGGTTTTGAATAAACGTGCATAATATGCAAGTTTTTGGTAGGAAACCGAAAATTCTTACCACATTAACCCTTTCACTGCCATAGGGACGGCATATTATTTTCGGCGTATTTGCCATATGGACGGCTTTTGCCATTTCTATAATAATAATAATGATAAATATATAAATAATCATACCATCGACAATAATTATTATTATACTAGCCGATTTGGAAACATATATAATTATTATAATACTTATAACAAATAATAATAATTATATTAATTATTAATATAGTAATTTCTAAGAAAACCTTCTGGCAAATAGGTGATCAATAAATAAATAACCCTCTGGCAGCGAAAGGGGATCTCCTTTTAGTAAGTAAGTAAGTAACAACTTTATTTAATGAGGCAACACAGTTGGGCAAGCCCAGTCTTCCCTGTGAGCCTCAAATCAAAGCCTTTTCCATAATTATGGTACAATACTTACGGTATAAAGTTGTAATACATGTATTTGTTTTGCAGGCATTAAGAGAAGTAAAGGATAACTCTGTGTTATACACAAATAGGGCACAAACATATATTAAACTTGGAAAATATCCAGAGGCGATAATAGACTGTGATTGGGCCCTCAGGGTAATGCACTGACCCTTAATTAATTTATTATTATTATTTTATTTTTGTAAATTTAAATTTTGAATATTTGATTTTTCATTTAACATAACTGTTATAGATTTTACCACTATTTTTTGCATGAACTGTTATAGATTTTACCACTTTTTGTTGCATGAACTGTCATAGATTTTACCACTTTTTGTTGCATGAAACTACAGAAAATATGTTCTTGTGTCAAACTACAATGATATCTATCTACTGGTGTCATATGAGAAAACATGATGAACCCATGATCTCTGGCTTGATAGACAGAAACCTTAGCCACTATGCCAACACCCACTTTTCCTGTATAATTTTGCTGCTATCATATTGTGATTATTGATATTTTCTTAACTTGTCTTTAAATTATGTAATCCATAACCTGCTGGAACTGAAAGGGTCATAAGCCTTTTCCTCTTGTATAGAACCATGCAAGCCTGCACATCCATGCAGTCTGATCAGGCTATATACTGTTGGCTGACCTACTTCAGATTTTAATCTTATTATTATCAAATTTGATAATGAATTGTTCCAAAAATGAAAGCTTACCAAGCCTGCTTAAGAAATTCATCAGGTTAAGGGTGGAGGCATATTATTTTATCTTGAAATAGTGATTTTAAACAATATCTCGTCAATTTCAGGCATTTCCTAACTGTATAAAAGCACACATTCACATGGGTCGAGCACATCTGTGTCTGAGAGAATACAAGGAGGCCAGGGAATGTTACAACAAGGCCCTCACATGTGACCCGAAAAAAGAAAACCTTATAAAAGGTATGGTAAATAAAGGAGAAAAAGTAATAATAATTATAAGATTTCAATTTTAGCATACATTTGTTTTTATTTGGGTTTGTTTTGTAATGCTATTTTTTGTGGAGCAGTAACATATAGTATTTCATTCCTGAAAAAATCACTTCACAACATTTCACTTTAGATATTGACTTCTTGAATGCTTGTGATTATGAAATATATTTTATACCATGCTACCAGTATCCTTGTAGTCTGACCAGGTTCTGAACTGTCAGCTTCTCATGTTAAATAATTTGATATTGAAAATCACCAAAAATATTGTCATTGTAGACAGTAGGAACTTTGAATTGTTCAAATTCTGTACCCCTTTATGGTCTTTACGATATCAGTATATCTTAAAATCCAGCAAAAAAGTAAATAAAAACTATGTTCAGTTTTGATTTTGCCTACAAAATTGCATACAACCCAAATTTTCTTATCACTGTTTCTTCACAGTATTTTATGGTGTTCTTTGTTTCTCATGTAGATTATATAGCTGAGGTAGATAGAGCAGAGCTTGCTGAAACACAAGAAACTGAGGCTGAGAAAATATTCAAGGCGGATAAAGTTGAAGCCCGTACTGTGGTAGATGTATTAACAAAAGTCCAGAAAGTAAATGAGTTGCCTGTGTTTTATAGCGGTGGATTCCGAGTTCTCAAATCTCTTATAACAACAAGTAAGTGTTATGCCCTTTGAGGTTTTGTGTTGCCTCAACACTGTAAACACAGTAGTGGCAACATTTAGGAATCGCTTCTCCATCGTCTGTGTATCTGTCTGTCTGTCTGTTTGTAAAAAGCTTGTCCGGACTACTCCTCAGAAACTACTGGAACAATTCCATCCAAACTTTACAGGAATGATCAGTATCAAATCTAGTTGTGCATATTGTCCGCATTAACTGGTTTCTAGCCGAGTTAAGGCCCTTGGATGTAAATCACGTCTTGCTTTGTTAATTTTGAATCTCCTGCTCCAGAGTAGCTGCAACATATAGGGATCACTTCTCCGTCATATGTGTATCTGTCTGTCTGTCTGTTTGTAAAAAGCTTGTCCGTACTACTCCTCAGAAACTACTGGAACAATTTCATCCAATCTTTACAGGAATGATCAGTATCAAGTCTAGTTGTGCATATTGTCCGCATTAACTGGTTTCTAGCCGAGTTAAGGCCCTTGGATGTAAATAACGTCTTGCTTTGTTAATTTTTAATCTCCTGCTCCAGAGTAGCTGCAACATGTAATCATGAGGCGATATGTGATTACTGATCACTCTTGTTTTCATTTTGTTTTGTTGTTGATTTAACTCAGAATTAGGATTTTAAACCAACAAATTGTAATTTATGCCTTTCCGCGAAATAAAATTTAACTTGCATTCTTTAGAACTGCCATTAGTACAAATTACATGTATGTACTGGTACAAAATCTAGAAACGTGGCAGAGAATTGCTTATCATTGATGGCAATAGTAATAATAACAACCAATTATGAGATAATAATAAGTTTACCAGCAAGCTCTATACATTTGAGCTATTTGGATTACTTTGTATATGACCATTTAAATATATTTCTTTCTAGCTGCTGACAGAACTTTGTTCCGGACCAAAGGGGGATTAGAGATGCTGACTACACTTCCTATTTTACAAAATTGTATATCAGCTTCTCCAAAGAGCCTGTCTGGTGAAGAGCTGGACATGTTGACGTCTGCTTTCTACATGTACACAGAGGCATGCAGGGAAAATGGTAAGTTGTGTGTTTGAATATGGCATTATTTTGTCATGATAAAATCAATTTTGTTTTATGAAGGAGGACTTTTGACCACATTTTGATTTTTCTTTACACATTTGTTATTCATAAAAAAAATTTAAAGAGGAGAAACTTTGAATAAATGGCACAAAGATACACATACAAAAAATCTCAAATCTTAGACTTCCATCTGGGGGATACCATGGCTGGATGGTTTAAGTTGCTGAGTTAAGATCACTTGCCCCTCACTGCCATGGATTTGAAACCAGGAGAGACTGAAGATTCTTTCATGTATTTCTTATAGTCGGATGCCTCCTTGTGCCTGAAATAATGCTTGAAAGCGCATCCAAGGTCTTACACTACCATTGAAGCTGGAATGTTAACATATGACCTGTATAATGCCTTTGTAAATTAAAACTAAAACAAAAAAAGTACAAAAATAAGACTACCAATAATGTTCTCAGAAAAAATAGAAACAACCTGTCAATAGTGTGCAAATCTGATTAGTGGATCATTTTAATTCATATGCAAATTTTCTATGATGTTTACTCATTGCCTGGTTATAACTATTATTTGAACAAGTTATTAGTAAATTGTAATTAATTTTTTTCTTACAGAGAAGAATACAGAATTGATTCTTAAAACAGAGAATTTGACAAACTACTGTATTCGCTTCCTTGAAGTAAAGATGAAAGGTCAAGGACAGATTCTCAAGGTCGCCATTGTAGATTTCTTGTTCACGTTGTCACAAATACCGATTGGACAAAGAACTATTGTAGAATCATTTGATGTTCCAAAGTAAGTTATTTAGATCTACTCTTATCACTGCAATATACATGTATTCATATTAGTATTGGTTGAATGATTATTAATCTGCCGAATTTCACATTAAGTGTGGATATTGAAATTTTTACCCGCTGTTCGCTCATAAATTATCTTGAAATTAAGAGACAACAGTAGTTTACTGAGAAACTAAGTAACTTGGATTAAAGAAAATTTCTTTGGCTAATATTTTTTGTGATTTGGAAAAAACTGCAAAAATTTCCAGGTCATGAACTTTTCAACTTGTACAGTAATATTTTGTAATGCCCTAATACCCTACAATTATAAAATTGAAAAATTTATCATTTAGTTTTCATTCTTTTTCAGGCTTCTAGCTGTGATTTTTAATTTGATAGGTAGTAAAGGTGTCATAGCCTCGGGTGCTGCTGTACTTCTCAACAACCTAGCTCTAGAGAAAAAGTAAGTTTTCTCTGTTTGTCAATATGACGACTTGCAATGTTATTCATGGAGTTAATAATAAGTCTTTTTATCTGAAGTCAGATTTTATAAACATATAATAACTTAACTTTATTTGTCAACAGTATAGAATAAGTCCTGACTATACATTCCTGCAGTTTGACAGGCTCTACACTGTTGGCCTAAACTTTAAATTTTCATATTGATGTCCCCAAAAATGATAATGGACTGTTCTGAAAATAGAAACTTGGCAAGTCCATTTAAGAAATTCAGCAGATTAAGGGTTAGTTTACATGTACATTGTGTTATTACAGGTTTAAATCTATGCTTAGAGACAAGATTGAAACAACTGTGGCTCCTGCCTTTGAAAAGCTGCTGGTAAGTTTAAATATCATCATTTAGTTTGATTCAGTCTGTACACAAGGGATAATGAAATGTTCAACATCTCTTATATATAAAAACCTTTCAACATAAACTAATATAAAAACTAAATATAGAGAAATTTTCTATTTGTGTATATATATATATATGTAATTTTTTTATTTTTTTTAATTTTAAAATGTATAGTAAAACATAAAAAACGTAGGACTTGAAATACGTGGAAACTAGATTTTTTCACAAAGTCTGTAAGAAAATAAAAGAAAACAGAAAAAAATCTTGAAGGATTTCTTTGTCATTACAATACTGAAAATTGTCCTCTGAATATCAAGGAATTTTCAGAAAACCAGACATTTTGAGAAAGCCCACAAAGTATTTGATTATTAGCTTATCCTCAGTTTAGATATTTACCAAAACTCTTAACAAACCACTTATAGTTTCAACTATATTTCTGCTTTACAGGAAACTTCCAACCCATCCATGGCTTTAGCAAGATGTGTTACTATGGTAACAAACCTGTCGTCTGACGCTGTAATTAGGTCAAGGTTAATGAACAGGAACCAGTTATGGGAGTCATCAATTAAACTTGTGGTAGGTAGCAGTCTCACTTCATATTATAAAAACTTCCTGTTTTAGTTAATTAATGCTTAATCTGCTAAATTTGTTTAATGGAATTACCCTGTTTTGAATATGGAAGTTATGTCCATTCAAAGTTTGATTGAGGTGAAAAGATAATTTGAGGGACGCTACTATATTTCCCCTGAAATAAAGTTCTATCGCAACTGTAGAGACCGTCTTACAAATTTTGTTATGACGTTAGAATGTTGCTCACCTGAATTCTATTTGCTAAAATCTCACTGGTGTCATTTACACTTGTACATAATTCTTATAAAAAGAGCAATTCAAGAAGGTTATTTCAGCTGTTTAAACTTATGTCAAACATAACACATTGTAAACAACTTTACATTTTCTTTGTCCTGCAAGAGTAAACTACACATCCCATTGTTAGTTTATTTTTAATCATCAAGAAATATTTTGATTATCCATTATGGTAAATCATCAATTACAGGATGCACAAAGAACGAAGTTAGGTGATGAAGTGAGTGCAGAGATTGTTGAGAGCATTCTGGGATTGTTACTAAATCTTACAACGGAGCAATCAGAATGTGTGAGAAAACACGGCACCACAATCTGTGATAGTTGTCTTGCTATGCTGCACGACAGCTCGTGCACCGAGGGGGTTAAACAACGGTCTATAGGCTTACTTAGTCATGTGTTACCATACTGTGTCCCAGCAGTAGATAATGTGGTGAAAAAAGGAGGCACAGAAATATTCCTGCAGCATGTGATGGTACGATAACATAATTGATATTGTCTACATGATTAGTTTTTTAATATGTTTAAAGTAAAACATTCTGCTTTTCAAATTTTCCCCTCATTTTGTAGTTGCTAGTTGTCTTTTCTACCATCTATCTGCCCTGTCATGCCCTGCCCGTCTGTCTTTATGTCATGCTTTTCTTACATATTCTCATACATTTAGTACCATAAGCTAGTGATTGATATAAATGTATTTGGTGTGTAGGCATCTTTCCCTAGACCTCTAACCCTTGGGTGATGTTTTAGGTCATTTGGGTCAGGTCATTTTTTTTTTAAATTAGCTTTGCGTACATAAGTGTTACTGATTATTGTATTCTTGTTTTTGTTTTATGTAGGCAGAAGAATCAAGTTGTGTGAAGTCATCATTAAAAGCACTGACTGCCTTGACACAGATGAATGAGGAATCTAGAAACTATATTGTCAAAAATAAAGGTAACTAGTTTGTTTGCTTTTGGAATAACATACAATGCAAATTAGTATTGGCTCATTGTTTCATACTACTTTAAGTTTTATAAATGTTTTACATGTTTTCACTTGTTAATCAGGTGTTGCAAAAGAAAAAAATGGTTATTAAATGAGTGTATATGGATAGGAAATCAGCTTAATAATTTCTTCTGTGTGCAGCTCATGAACATTTCAGTTGTATAATACATTATGTCTTGTTTTGTTTTTTTGCGAGTTTATTTGTTGTTGCTTTTTTTTTTCAATCTGTTTAATAATTTTTATATGAAGAGAAAGTCATATAGCATGTTACGTTATCTCACTAGGTATTGTGAAGTTGATGTCACACCTAAAATCTGATGATGAAGTTATCGTTGGTAATGCAGCTCTATGCCTCAGTCATTGCACGCAAGTACCAAAAGTGTGTTCCGCTCTAGTGATGACAGATATTATTAAACAACTGCTTGTGTTAGCAAGAGATGGGAGGAAACCTGCGGTACAACAAAACTGTGCAATACTGATAGCCAAACTTGCTCAAGGAGATTCTAAGTAAGTGTTAGTCTTCTAGAACGAACATGGATAAACGAAATCACCGTACAAGACTTGCAAGCCTATAATATTAATCCTGATCACTATACATTTCTTAGGAGTGTGTACATTTTAATTTATACCTTTTTTTTGTAAACAGGAAGTACATGTAAACTGGTTTGTCTACTGCGAGAACAGGGACTGTTGCTGCCTTTTTAGTCGATTGGCTAATTTGCTGTCCTGCTACTTTATAGAATGTCAATTGTTTTTTTTTAAGTTTCCAGTTTATTAACTTATAAACCAGTCAATCAAATGATCAAAGGTCTTCTATAAAATTTTAAAAACTTGGAAACCATGTAGTATTCAATTCATTTTTTAAACATTTTTGTGAAATTTTTTTTTTAAAGTTTATAATTTAGGAAATTTAGAAAGATTGAGAAACTTCAGGGGCTAAGATCTTACATTCCTGTATAAAAATACTTAAATGATTTCACACCTTTTTTGTGAAAAGAGGCGCCGCCCCCCCCATTGTTTGAGGGGACATGTAGTGTAATGGGGGACATGAAGCTACACCCCTTCTGTGTAATGAGGATGTGGATTATGAAAGTTAAGCCCATTTGTGTTATGAAAACAATGATTGCCACACCAATGAGGATATGACAAACACCCATAAGGATCATGATTGCCACATCCTTACGTGTAATGAGGACATGATAACAATACTCAGTGTACTGAGTAATGAGGGCATTTTCAGGGTGTTGATCATCTGTGATGATATTTGATTAGCAATTGTTTAAGGAATTGTAATGTTGAGAAGATCAACATTCAAAACAGTAGTATGTTGATGAGAATTATTTGCAAAACAAACTGAACAGGGGTTGAGTTTTTTAAGTGTGTTTTTGTTGTTTTTTTAGATGGATAACTGTGAATGAGATGATAGATTCTTGTAAATTAGGTATATGAAATACAAATTAAAGAAAATTACTAAGTCGATGTACATGAGGATTGTACATAAACTGTTGTGTTGATACACGAGTAGTGTATAAATAGGTAATGTGTTCATATTGCAGTGTATTAAAAATGTTATTTATGAAATTATATGTTTTATAATATTTGCTAACTTGTAAATAAATATTAATTTTTATATATCCTAATGACAAAAAAGATAAATTGTATATTAAAAAAACTATAAATGACAGTAAAAAAGTAATATCAAATTATTTAGTTTGGTTGTTATATTTATTATTTCTGTTTGAGTTTTTAGAGAACTTGACAGGCATGTTTTCTGTACTAGGTTACTACAAAACTTCTAATGTTCACTAAGGGAGAGCACAGGCTTAGTGGCATCTGCCTCTTAAAGGGAGACACAGGCAAAATTTTCATTTCTTAGTTTTGAATTTTTCATTCATTATTCTGTAAATGCCCTCAAAATGAATACATTTAACAGTCAAAGGAACAACTCTTTTCTCCATATAAAGAATAAAATGGTGTTTCCTAACTTGACCCGCGTGGGTCAGGTTAGAGCGCTAGCATTTCACAATAGTTGTCAAAGTGAACTCTGGAAACGTTAAGGAAGATCTGAAATGAATGACATAGGCTTGTTTCAATCATACAATATCCACAATATCTGTTATTGTAACTTCAAGGGTTTGTTCAAGTCACCTGACTTGTTTTAAAACTATTTGGTGATTCTCTTGGCGTCTAAATTTTGTTCAATATATATATAGATATATTTACACTTCAAACCCAAAATATATAGAATTTAGACAGAAATTCATGCTGAAACTTCAAGAAAATTCATTTTAGCGTGATTTAAGTACATAAGACCATTTTAATATTTTTGTCATTATTTTGCCTGAATATCCCTTTAAAGCAGGGATTATCTTGCTGTTTGCCACTTCAGACCAACCGGCTTTTCTTTTTTCTCTTTTTTCCGCAAAATATACTCCTGTGTTCCCAGTTAAATTGCTAGAATGACTTGGCCCTGCAAACTTTGCACACTTGTTCACCATTATAACCCCAACCTGTAGACAGGAGGAGGTAACTGTATCAAGCATTTTGATAGAATTATGCCCCTTTTTCAACTTAGAATTTACATTTAGGTTTGCATACCACCTCAGATATTTTCATATTCTTTTGAAACATTAGTTGAAATTTTATACTCTTCTTTGAGAGCATAATAGGACACTCTCCAAGGCCTATAACTGTAACATGGATTTAAAGAAAAAATTTGTCCTTTAGTTATTTACTCAGAAAATTTTACATTATCAAGGCTCTTTTACTATCAAGCAATAAGAATAGTCGAGCGGAAGAAATAATTTTTCGAGATTTAAATGTTCCATTTGATCACGGATTTATATTATTGTAATATAAATCCGTGATTTGATGTAGGTCTCAGCAGGACCAATTGCTTATGTGCAAATTTGAGATCATTTGCTAATAAGCCATTTTTCCAGACTAATTATTGTAATCGTGAAAAATGACCCCAAAATTTAAAAATGTTTCAATGCTTTTCCCACCCCTCAAAGCTGGCCAAGAAAAGCACAAAAAATATAATTTTCAATTCATTTCTACGCATCTTTCTTTATTTTTTTTTT